TGATGAGACCGAAATCAATGGGAGAGATAGTTTCTGGAGCGTTTGGACATCAATACTTTCTTTGAATATCAATAGTCTCCCGTGTTGAAAGGTTGAGGCAAGGATACTTAGTCATACTAGAAGAAGCTTGTAGTAAAATGTTATTCAAGACTGAGCATGTAAATTATCAACGATATGCAATATCGTAATTTGAATGCTCAACAAGGAACCTGTTAGCATAGAGAACGTGGTGCTTTTACCAGCGCCGTTGTGACCAAGTAGAGCAGTCACTTGACCGTGATAAACCTCTAGATTCAATTTGTTTACGGCTTTCTTCTTTTGCTTGTCCTTCTAAAGAAGATCATTTTTCAAGTGTATTTGTTAAGTTACGAAGTTGACTGGTTGCAGGTAAAACGGATAGCATGAGGGAATCAGAAATTGAGATTTCCTTCTCAGAGAGTAATTTCAGTCCGTATTATTCAATGAAAATTGAAACAAAACATTTTAGAATGTTTTCAATATTGCCATTGATCAAAAGCAGTGAAGCAATCAAATTCAACATGAGACTGGCGATGCACACCTTCACGAATAGTCTCTTCGAATAGCATTTGCTCAGATTGACGATATTGATCGTCGTGGATTCACCACTCGAATTCGATTCTATAGTAGAAGCGTATTTTGATGAAACGGAACTTCGTCCGCATGAACTGATAGTTCTGCGTCGATTTTTTGAATTACTGGAAATGCTCATCTTCTGCAGAAACGAGCGTTTTGGCTGGTGCTGTTGAAATTTGGTTGTTTTTCGCCCACACCATTTAGGTGCCCAGTAGGACGGCTGAAATGTGGTCATCCGTCAATTTAGTTACTCGTCTATTTGTAAAATAGAACGCATAATCTATAAGAAGAGCACTAACTCGATTATTTAACACATGCTATGACCACGGATCATTTAGGTGGTGACTGATTGAGCCATGTTAAATCCCTGACCGGTCAATTTGCCTAAAGATAATTTGCCTAACGGACAGTTTGCCTAAGGAACCGTTTGCCTATTAGGCGAAATATCCATTAAAAACCGTAGTTTAGGCAAACTGTCGGTTAGGCAACGTGTCTTTAGGCAAACTGTCGTTAGGCAAAATGTTTTTAGGCAGATTGACCGGGTACCGTTAAATCACCTTGTTTGCATGTTTCTTTTCTATGGATTGAATAAATTGCTCGCGTTTGAGATGCAACGTTCGAAGCAGAAATTTGATATGATGGCAGCATTTGAGCGAGAAAAAAAAACAGGTTACTAGGATCGACATTCATTGTTGCTGACTAATTGTAAGCCCATACTATCATGACCTAGTGTTATTCATTTAGAATCTTATCAATCGACTTCCTTCTGATTGTTTTTATTTCCAAATGACAATCGATATCTGTTCATGAGAATGGTTCATGTTAATTTTTGCTTGCGCATCATCACTTATCTGTTCGTGTCAATTCGGTTCCGAGTTCTTATTGTTTGCATCGAATTATTTGCACGAATCTGCTTATGAATTCCTAAGTTCTTGTATCTATTCGCTGATAAGCAATCCTTATCAACGTTTGCATACATTCACTTTGCATACCCATTAGCACAACAGTCTCGATTCGCGTGTGAAAATGCAACGAAACGATATGAAGTCATAAACTAAAACTATGGAATTGCAACAACACTATTGACCAGCAAGCAAATAAGTATGCAGATTTGCTGAATGCGTTGGCGCCAGCGAAAAATACGATGGCAAGCAATGGTTATCAACACTTGTGCTTACTCAAATCCTGTGTGCATTAACTCAACAAATATTTGAACGACTCTAAGAAATGACTCTAAAA